CCAAAAAAATCCCCCAAGAGAGAAACCATATAAATGTCTGCAGTGTGAGAAGACGTTTGCTCAGAGAGGTAAACTTACCATCCATGAAAGGATTCACACGGGGGAGAAACCCTATAAATGTCTGGATTGTGGAAAGACCTTCGCTGAGAAACGTAACCTTATTACACATGAAAGGATCCATACAGGGGAGAAGCCATATATATGCCTAGTGTGCGGAAGAAGATTTATTCAGACTGGTCACCTTACGAGACATCAACGATCCCACACGGGGGAGAAACCATATACATGTCTGCAGTGTGGAAAGCAGTTCAGTGGACGTTCAAATCTTATGAAGCACATAAGAAGCCACACGGAGGAGAAACCATATATATGTATGGAGTGTGGAAAGAGCTTCCATGACAACAGCGTCCTAGTTTGCCATAAAAGGATCCACACAGGAGAAAAGCCGTACAAATGCATGGAGTGTGGGAAGAACTTCAGGCGGAACTGTCACCTTGTGAAACATGAAAGAATTCACACGGGAGAGAAACCATATCAATGTCTGGAGTGTGGAAAGAATTTCCGTCAGAAAAGTTGCCTTTTGCAACATAAAACAATTCGCACAGGGGAGAAACCATATAACTGCAAAGAATGTGGAAAGAGTTTCAGTTGCAGCAGTGATTTTATTTGCCATAAAAGAATTCATACAGGAGAGAAACCATATCAATGTCTGGAGTGTGGAAAGAATTTCCGTCAGAAAAGTTGCCTTTTGCAACATAAAACAATTCACACAGGGGAGAAACCATATAGGTGCCCAGAATGTGGAAAATGCTTCCGTCAGAACAGTACTCTTTTCCAACATAAAACAGTTCACACAGGGGAGAAACCTTATAGGTGCCTGGAGTGTGGAAAAAGCTTTAGTCAGAACTATAAACTTTTGCAGCATAAGAGAATTCACACAGGGGAGAAACCATATAACTGCAAAGAATGTGGAAAGAGTTTCAGTTGCAGCAGTGATTTTATTTGCCATAAAAGAATTCATACAG